TATGACCCTGGGTGAGAAAAGGCTATTCCAACAGACCCCAAGCTCTCACACAGCGGAAAGGCTTCAGATACAGGCCTGATGACTGAGTGTGGCTATCATTAGAAGACAAACTTAAATAATAATATTTTAAAAGCCCACATTATGTGATCTTGGACAAATTCCTTCCCCTCTGGGCCTCAATTGTCTCATCTGTAGGATAGGCAGATTGGATTAAATGGCCTAGGTCCCTTTCCAGTACAAGATCTTGGATCCTATTATTATTTATTGATTACTTTCCTTTCAATCTAATCAAGTATTTATTAAATGCCTACTAGGCAAAATTGAAACAGTTGCCAACTTTAATGAAGTTACATTGAACTGTTTGGTGATTTACATTTGATCACCAGAACAATTCTGTGAGGGAGGTAGTAATGGTGTTGTCATGCCCATTTTACAGATGAGGAAACTGGAGGTCAAACAGGTAAAGTCATTAACCTTGTTCAGTCCCTCATTTCTCCTCACCTGCCTGCCTCTAGTCTCTCCCCTCTCCAACTCATCCTCCAGACAGCTATCAATAATCTTCCTAAAGCACAGGTCTGACCATACCCTGCTCTTCCTCAAAAATCTTTAGCTGGGGCAGCTTGGTGGTTCAGTGGATAGAGCCCTGGCTCTGGAGTCAGGAGTACCTGGGTTCAGATCCAGCCTCAGATACTTGACACTTACTAGCTGTGTGACCCTGGGCAAGTCATTTTGCCTTGTTTGCCTCAGTTTCCTCATCTGTAAAATGAGCTGGAGAAGGAAATAGTTTAAAAAAAGTGTCTTTGCCAAGAAAACCCCAAATGGGGTCTTAAAGAGTCAGTCATGACTGAAACAACTAAATAACACCATCTCTGTGACCAAGGGTAAGTCATTTTATCTCATGTATCTCAACTACCTCATCTAGAAAATGAGGGATTTCTAATAGATGACCTCTAATGTCCCTTCCAGCTCAAAGGTAGATGATCCTATGATCCCAATCCCTCCCATCATTCATGGTACTGTATTTGTAGGAGACGATGCACATAGTAGGGAACAGACTCATACTCTCCATTCAGACACTGATACAGACAGTATTCAAGAAACTCCAAAGAGTGAGACCTCGAGGCAGCTAGGTGGCACAGTGGATACAGCACCAGCCCCGAAATCAGGAGGACCTGAGTTCAAATCTGGATTCAGACCAAACACTTGACACTAATTAGCTGTGTGACCCTGGGCAAATCACTTAACCCCAATTGCCTAAAAAAAAAACCCTCAAAGAGTGAGACCTCTGGTAGCAAAGAAGAGAGCTAGCTGTGGACTCAAGAGGGAGCTATGCCGGGCAATCAGGAATAGAGATTGGGGGGGGGGGCAGACTCTGAGAGCCCTGCTGGATAAACCACTCAGCAGAGGACCTTTGTCAAGATTTCAATAGAAAAGAAAAAGGACATGGGGATACAGAGTGGCAAGTTGCTTTGGCCACATGTATTCTGTGTATCTATCTATATATCTATCTATCTATATCTATATCTATATCTATATCTATATCTATATCTATATCTATATCTATCATCTATATCTATATCTACATCTATATCTATATCTATATCTATATCTATATCTATATCTATATCTATATCTATATCTATCTATCTGTATCTATATCTATGTCTATATCTATATCTATATATGCTTTACTGTCATTTTACTATTTGTACTTACTCTTGTCATGGATGCTGTGTGTAATTGTAGCAAAATGTGCCCTGGGTTTTTGGTGGGAATAGTTTGTAGCTACCGTTCTATGATGTTTTAGTAAATGTTTTTTGCCATGAGCTAAATGTGTTTATCAGCATTACTATTAATGGGAAGCACACCAGTGGGGACTTGTGAATTACGGTTTAGGAATATAGCTTCATAGGCTACACTTTGAATCTAAGGGAGTAGAAACTGCCCTCTAGACTCAACCTGCACGTGTGGGTGCAAATTGGGGGAGTACCACAGAGGGTCACTACCAGTACCCCTGAAAACACAATCCATAGGTGAATACCAACTCTACTTATATGTGGCCATTGCTGCTGCTTGTGTATAGAAATGAGCAGCTAATCAATGAAACAGCTTCAGAGGTAACTAGGTGGGATGGTCAAGAATGTTCCAAGAAGCATGCTGCAGTGAGGTAGAGAAAAGAATACTGACCCAAGAATCAAGACACCTTAGTTCTAGACCTAGCTCTGCTCTAACTAACCTTGGATAAGACCCTACCCCAGGTCTCAGTTTCCTAATCTGTAAAAGAAGGGAGTTGTTGTACCACATGCTTTTTATGTAGAAGTTACCTCAAAGATAATCTATTTCAACCCATTTTACAGATGAGGAAACTGAGACTGCAAGAAGTAAAATCAAGTTAACAAGTATTTGTTAAATACCTGCTATGTGACAAGCCCTGTGCTAAGCATTGGGGATACAAAGAAAGGCAAACACAGTCCCTGCTATCAAGGACCTCATGGTCGAACAGAGGGAAATGGCATACAAACAGCTATGTGCAAACAAGCTACGTACAGGGTAAATTGAAAATAACAGAGAGAAGGGACTAGTATTAATGAAGATCAGGAAAGGCTTCCTATAGAAGGAGGGATTTTAGATGGGGCTTGAAGGAAGCTGAGGAAGCCAGGAGGTGTAGATGAGGAGAAAGCATTCCAGGCACAGGGGACAGCCAGCTGGAGGAAATGCCCAGAGTAGGGTCGTGTAGATGATAAGTACGAGAGAGTGGATTGAAACCCAGATATTCTGGGTCTAAATCCAGTACTCCTTCAACTGAGCTACTGAATTTTCCACCCAGAGGCACCTTATGATGCTAGGTATCCTTGTTATTAGGCGTTTGACCATGTGGTATCTTAGCTCTAGGACTAATTCCTAGAGAGAGCAGGAAGAAGATAGTAGGAATTCAGAATGCACACTGAATTTGGAGTCAGATGTGAGACAGTTTCTGTTCTAAGAGAGCTTACGTTCCCAGCAAGCTGGGGAGGATGGACCCTGCCATAGATTTTTACACCTGTCCTCTGAGGACTGACAAGTTTGGAAAGGTCTATCAGCAGGTTGGGTGCCAGGTGATTGATTTCTCGGCCCAGTGCTATCCTTTTTTTTTTTTTAATAATACCCTCACTTCCCAAGGATTGATCCTTGCCCAAATAGATTGTAACAAAGAGGTACAACTAAATGAAGGAGGCTGCTAGGTGGCTCAGTGGATAGAGCACCGTGCCTGGAATCAGGGAGACCTGAGTTCAAATCTAGACTCCTACACTTCCTAACTGTGTGACCCAGGGCAAATGACTTAATCCCAGTCCCATCTGTAAAATGAGCATAATGATAGTACCTACCTCCCAAGGTTGTTGTGAAGATCACATGAGATAATACTGGAAAGTGATTAGCACAATGCCTGGCACAAAGTGGGTGCTATATAAATGTTAGCTATTATTGTTATATACCAGTAGTCTTCTACCTCTAAACTGAAAAGGTGTTATTTTGCTGAAGTCATAATTAGTCACTGAACTGATCAAAATTCTTTAATGTTCCCCACAATTCTTGACAGTCATCTATTGTCATAAGTGGCACAGTGGATAAAGAGTTGGACCTGGAGTTATGAAGGCCTGAGTGCAAAACCTGCCCCCGTCACTTACCAGCTGTGTGACTCTGGGCAAGACACTTAACCTCTCTTTGCCTCAATTTCCTCATTTGTAAAATGGGAATACTAATAACATCTCCCTCCAAGGTTGTTGTGAGAATAAAATTAGATAATATTTGAAAAGCATAAACCTTAAAGTATTACATAAATAAAAAAGCATTTTAAAGCATTATGTAAATCCTAGCTATTATTGTTATTATTATAAATAGGCTGCATTGACAGAAAGAGAACCGTATTGACAAAATCACTAAATGTTGAAGTGAGTACCTACTTACCAGGGTTGTCGCAAAACTCAAATGAGATAATAATGGACATGAAACCCAGGGTCCAAGGCTCCCCTTATCCAAGATTCTGGTGTCATATGAACCAGATTAAATCCTGGGCAATGATTCAAAAGGTCAGTTTGTCTCTGGCTTCTTGTCCCTGCTCAGAGTTTACTCCCAAGGAATTTCCAAAACGGTTTGCGTCTAGGTTTCCACAGACGTCGGCAGTAAGAGCCTCATCTCTCATCCAAGCATGCAAGATAACAAATGGGCACGAGTGTAGGACAGCCTTTATCTTTACAAATCCACAGAGAATGCCAAAGATTGAAACGATTCACAGAAGCCCAATAAGTATATATGGAAAGCTCCTGAGGTGCTTGTGATAGCTACCTACCTGCTACAGAATTTGGTGAAAATTTGGTGACACTATGGTGAAAACCTTCTTTCCCATGCATTCCTTCTCAGACTAGCAGGGCCATTCTGTGACATAGACTCTCTCTGGGAGGCAAACCCATTCTGGGACTGCTGAACACACAATCCTCTTCCCCTCAGACTCATATTGTTCAAATAAACCCTCTGCAACAGCCAGGGATAAAAAGGTCCCACCACCACCCTTCCCCACTCCACCCCCCAAGTTATGACTTGAACCTTTACTGCTTTTCCTCCAGGTTCAGGAAGGAAGGAAGGAAATGAGCATTTGTTAAGTATCTACTATGTGCCAGGTGCTGTGCTAAGTGATTTACAAATATTATCTCATTTGATCCTCACAACGATCCTGGGAGGCAGGTTCTGTTATTCTCCTCAATATACAGTTGAAGAAACTGAGGCCAAAAGAGGTTAAGTGACTTGCCCAGGGTCACACAGCTAGTAAAGTGTCTGAGATCAGATTGGAACTCAGGGTTCTTGACCCCAGGCCTATTTCTCCAATAGTCACGTTACTTTCATCCCTGAACACTTATAAGATAACCCCGGGCTAGCCCTGCTTAAAGGATCTTGCAGCTCTGGCTAGAAGGATAGATGCTGGGAATCCATTGCCTGGAAAATCAAAGAACGTATCCCCTTCTCACCAGAAGTTGAGGCTCAGATAGACTATTCAGAAAGTCTCCTCTCAGGTGGGTGGTCTTTGCCACGTGCTTTTATAGAAACTACCTTCGCAGGGACTGCTTCTATCTTCTGAGCTTGGAAAGTCTGGTCTCAAAAAAAAAAATTTAAAAAAAATTAAAGAAAGTCTGATCTCCAGCCTCTGACCTAATAACAATAACAATGGCAATAATAGCTAGCATTGAAATCAGGCTTTCTGTGTGATCTCATTTGGTCTTTAACAACCTGTGAGGTAAATGTGATTCTTATATGCCCATTTTACAGATGAGGAAACTGAAGCAGAGAGAGGGGATGTGACTTGCCCAGGGTCACACAGCTAGCCACTATCTGCTTCCATCCCCAATGCTATCCACTAGGCCACCTAACTGTCTTTCCTAGCTGCCCTTGTTGCCATCATGAGATTTTTCTCAATATTCTTATTGATGAGGGGCAGCTAGGTGGTGCAGTGGATAGAGCATCGGTCCTGGAGTCAGGAGGACCTGAGTTCAAATCTGGATTCAGACACATGATACTCACTAACTGTGTGACCCTGGGCAAGTCACTTAACCCTGACTGCCTTGCCAAAAAAAAAAATTCTTATTGATGATCTGGGGTAAATTAGCTTAGCTGCCCTTCAGTCTGACCTATGAATAGGGAAATGGAAGGGAGAGGAGGAGTGGCTGAACCTGGGATTAAACCAGTCTAGGGAACTCCCAGGTGGGAAATCTCCTTCTACCGATGCAGGTTGGCACCTTGCCTAGAGTCAGATTGCTATCTGAGCACTGAGAGGATGAATGCCTTGTTGGGGCCACACAGGAGGTGTGAGAGGCAAGACTTGAGCCCAGATCTTTAGTCTATGCCATGGAGAAGAAAAGAAAAAAAAGGGGAGCAAAGTGATTGGGTCTGTCTCCTCTCTTATAGGTCAGCAGAGAGAGGTGCTTATGTTGCCCACAATTTTCCTTAGGATCCCAGCAAACCAGTCATTTTAGAAGCAGCCCTGATCCCTAAAACCCAATTGGGTGATGCCTCTGTCCTTCCCACAATGCCCATTATCTTGTAAACAGGCAAGGCTTCGTACCCTGTCAGGGTGAGGGTTGTCCATCCAATGCCCCAAAGGCTCGCCACCCAGGAAGCTCATCCAGTGGATGGAGGTATTCTCTAGATTGGCTGGGAATTCTGCTGGCCCCCCCCCCACAGGCACACAGCTCTTTACAAACTTTCAAGCTCCCTATCAATGTCAGTTACTATCTAGTCCAATCCCCTCAATTTTGCAGAGAAGGAAACTGAGGCAGCAGGATGTGGTAGAAAGAGTACTAATTCTGGATTCCAGGGATGTGGGTTCAACTCCTGCTTCTGATGTTTACTACTTGTGTGACCTTGTGCCAGTTTCATAACCTCTCTGAGCCTCACTTTCCTCACCTGTAAGATGAAGGGGTTGGATTATATAAGCTTGGACATCCCTCTAGGTTTAGGCTCCTATGAGGCTCAGAAAGGAAAAATGACTTGCCCATAGTAATAAAGGCAGTAAGTATATCCTGTTTCCCCTTTATTTCTTCTTTTTTTCTTTTCTTTGGTCATGTACAATCATATACCCCGTGTCTGCCCCATCCCCTGCAATTTTGATGCTCTCATTTGCTGCCTTCTCTCTCTCTGATAACTTCTAGCAAATCTGCTCTCAGGAAAGGCTCTGCTATAAGTCATTTACACCTTAGTATGAATTTTGGTTCACATGCAAGCCAAGCCCCCATCCCCACCCTTTGTCAGTTAAGGATGTCTTATAATAGGAATTGTAGAATCTCAAAGTAGAAAGACCACTGCACTTTAGGATTTGCACTGCCCATCAGTAGGACAAAGGAGGCTGACCACTCTTTGAAAGCTCTGGCCATTATAGAACCCAGGAGTTTTTCGGAGCTCTTCAGAGCTGACTCTTAGAAACAGTTCATGCCAGAACTCAGCTATTCCTGAATCCAGACAAATACTCATTTAGCAGGGTAAGAGTCTGGCAGTTTGCCCATAAGCCCACCCAAATGCTTAGAGCAAACAACTCAAATTTTTTTTTAAAGAAGCTCTAAAATACATATGAAATTTACCAGCAAAAGCAATGCCAGGTTTTGAAATTGTGTTCACAGGATCACAGTCCTTAGAGGTCACATCTAGTAGGTCCTTCTCATTTTGCAAATGAGGAAACTGAGGTTTAGAGAGGGTCAGAAACTTACCAAAAGTCACATAGGGAACAAGTATTAGAGATGCGAGGTGAACCAGTACTCTTCGTCCACACCCACCAGCCCATCCACGTCCACGGTAGCATTCTTTCATCCAAAAGCCAGGCCCTCACTCTTCTACGTAATTGGAAAAGCCAGAACAGCCTTCATTCTTCATCTGTAAAAATGAAGGGTTTTTTTTTTGGGGGGGGCACCAGACCTCTGATATCATTGCTATAGTCCAAATCGCTCTACCAACCCTTAGCCTTCGAAAGCCGAGGAGAGGTAGTTAATTATAATCATAATCATAATCATAATGATGATGATGATGATGATGATGATGATGATGATAAAACAAGTGCTTCCCCTAGCCCACACGACCTTTCCTGACACCCCTAGACAAATCAAAACAAATCCTCCCAAATCTAAGGGCCCTAGGCTCACTTCAGACCCACGCAGTGCAGCTGCAGCCCTGTAACTTTAAACCTGCTCTGAGCTCATAGTTTTCCACACTGGCCAAACAGAAGAGAGGGCGGTCCCAGTGTTCTTCCCTCCCGGAGACCACCTTATGCATCACTGCTCCCTCCCCTCGCTGGAAAGAAGCTCTGCGCCGCTTGCTGACTGGAACTTTTCTTTAGAAAGTTTGGTCCCCAGTTCGGATCTGCCTTCGCTCTCTCGTTTTCTCTCTGTGGGAGGCAGAGACCCACCCATCAGGGGAATCCTCAGAGGCTGGACGCTCTCTGACTCCCCCCCATTCTTGCCTTCCCTCCCCCTCAGCTGGTAGGATTTGGACTAATCCGAGCTGGAGACGAGGCCAGTTTGCGGTTCTCCTGAAAGAAAGCATCCCCCTGGCCTGCACTATTCAGGCAGAAGAAGATGTGGCACTTTCAAATCCTGCTACTGGTCTTAGGGAGCTCGCCCCTCTGGGTGATCACAGAAGGTAAGGGTCTGATATGGCCAGGCGCTCAGAAGCAGAGACTTGCCTTACTGAGGGGGAATTGTTTGTGTCTGGCTGTTTGGAGCCGCGCTTGTGATCGATGCGGAGCTGGAGGAGGGAATGTTTAAGGGTCTGAACACTTTAAGGTGGAGGAAGAAGAGCCTGGGGTCAGGGAGAACCTCATTCCTGCGTGAGAAGGTTGCTAGAACCTTACAAAGGCTTTGAATCCTCGGAGTGCCTGGCAGAAGAGATAGCTGGGAACGGTGAGTGGGTGGGCTGAGGGTAGCCTTGGAGGAGCATCTCTTCAGGCAGCCTTGTGTGACCTCCTCTGTTGGGTGAACAAAACGGTTCAGAATCTGATAATAAGATGGTGGCCTCCTCATCGACCCAGGCATCCTAGCTCTTCCACGAGGCAGAGACTGGAAGATAAACAGCCCCATTAATAATGATAGGGTTGGAGAGAGGGAGGTTAGATTGGAGCCAGAATTCATCCAGGTACCAGAGATCAGTCTAATTTCTTCTGGCTTTGGGCAGGCTTTACCTTCTCTGAGTTCATGAATTTGAAGTCAGAGGAGACAGGTTCAAATTTTACCATTGCTATTTATTACCTGTGCAACTATGAGCCAGTCACTTCATTTCTCTGGGCCTTGGTCTCCTCATCTGGAAAATGGACGAGTTAAACCAAATGGTCTCTGAGATCTTTCCAGCTTCTTGTCTGTGATTGGGGCATCTTCTCAGGGTCCTCCAGATTTCTCACCATACCTGAGATAGTCTGTGGAGTTAGCCATGGGATTGCTAGAAGGCCTCTTTCACTGTATAACAACAACAACAACAACAACAACAACAATAATAATAATAATAATTATTATTATTATTATTATTATTATTATTATGAAAGGAGGAAACTCCTCTTGAGTGTGGGGAACTTGAGGGGCAAGGAGGGATATAGAAAAGTCAGGGGCAGTATCTATACTGGCAGAGCAAAGGGAAGAGTTGAGGTAATTATCCACATAATTAAGGTTAAAAAATTATTTCAGGGAAAAAGAGAGTTGCTCTGGGACTTCATTTTATCCAAGCTGGTTGTCTTCAGTGACTGAATAATCATATAATTGTTCAACCACATTGCTGTACTTAGAGTCAGTCAGCTGATGATGGCTGTGTGTGTCTGGTGGGGGGTACCTGTGGAGTGGGGAGGATGGTGTCTTGATATTAAATGAGAAGTATCAGGGCCTGTAGACAGTGCAAGAAAAGCCTCCATTTCAAATCTAGCTCTGGACACATATTAACAAATCACTTCATTTCTCTGACTCAGTTTCTTCATCTGTTAAGTGAGGGGTTAGCTACCCAGTGGTCTAGAAGAGCCCTTCCCACTTCTAAAAGTAGGAAATGCTCTTGAACAGAAGAACAGACCATCCAGGTCAGCCAGTTATTCCAGAAGCATTTTTAAGCCCTACTAAGCCCTGGAGGTAAGAAGAAAGGCCAAAAGCAGTCCCTGTTCTCAAGAAGCTCGAAGCCTCTTTCCAGGGAGAGATTTGTTTGGGGTCTTCTCTTGTCATCATGATCCTTTGTCTCTTCCTTTCTCTCCCCTTCATTCCTTTGGCTTAACACCCAGCACTGATAAAGTATTTTGTAAACCTTAAAAGGAATTTAGAAAAGTCTATTACTACGAATACCTCTTTTTCTTCTAATCTCATCAAGGGCGCCCCAGGAGCAGTCCTGGGGCAGTAGCAATATCAGTTCAAGGTTTATACAGCACTTTACAAAGGTTATCTCTCGTGATCCTCAACATAACCCTTTAAGGGAGATGCTATTGTTATCCCCATTTTACAGATGGGGAAACTGAGGCACAGAGCTATGAAATGACTCGTTCAGGGTCATAAAGCTAGCATTTGAACTCAGAGTTCCTCCTGGCTCCAAGTCTAGCATTCTTTCCACTGAGTCACCCACCAAGTTGTTCTCCTGCTATTATTACTTTATGTTTAATGTAGACTATCGAGCAGATGACTAAAACGATTGCTTTTTATGATTGAATAAAAGTGTTGAGAAGCCAGGTGATGGTCTGGCAAGAGAACCAGATCTGGAGCTACAGGACCTGAGTTCAAATCTCAGCTTGAGATTTGGGTAACTTGAGGCTTGGGTAACGTTAGACAAATCCCTTCCCCTCTCTGGGCCTCAGTTACCCTACCTGAAAAAATGAAGGGATCGGCTTCAAGGGCTTCTAAGATCCCACCTAGCTAAGGCCCTGCTGGGGTGTGGGTTCATGGAGAGGCAATGCGCTCGAGGTATAGAGCACTGGTCCTGGAGTCAGGAAGATCTGAGTTCAAATGTTGCTTCAGACGCTTCCTAGCTGCTGTGTGACACTACTGTTAAGAAACTTAATCTCTGTCTGCCTCAGTTTCTTCAACTGTAAAATAGGGATAATAATGGCACCCAACTCTCAGGGTTGTTGTGAGGATCAAATGAGATAATATTTGTAAAGTGCTTAGCACAGTGCCTGGCACATAGTAGGCGCTTTATAAATGTTTATTCTGCACTGCTCCCCCCACCCCCCACATAAAGCACTGTACATACATGGATCATTTGATCCTCCCAACAAGCCATGAGGTAGGAATTGTAGATATTGTCATTCTGTTTTGCTGATGAAGTGATAGAGGCTCAGAGATGTGTGATTTGCTCATGGTCCTACATCAAATAAATATTAGAGGCAGAATTTGAACCCAGGTCTTCCTGAGTCTGAGTCCAGCACTCAATACATGATATTGAACTTGTTACTCTGATTACATATTGAAGAGATCGAGAAGTGACATGCCTAGTATCACTTATCAAGTGGGTGTCAGAGGCAGAATTTGAATCCAGATCTTTCTTATGCCAAATCTAGTCCTCTATTACACAAAAATTTATTCCCCTTGTTTTACAGATAAGGAAACTGAGGCTTGGCGGGAGAAAGTGACTTGCCCAAGGTCACAGGGCTGGTGGGGTAGAGCTGGGACTCCAATCCAGGCCTCCTGACCACCCCCAGCCCCTGAGTCCCAGTGTTCTTTCCATCAGCTGCTCTACGGAGAGACAGGAAGCTCATTCATCCACTTTTAGAAAACAGACAGAACACTAGAGGCAGTCACCCTGCTGGGCAGGCTGGGTGGGCAGGGGTGGGGGATGACCTGGCCTCGCCTTCACTTCACTAATTCTGTGCAAGGACAAAAATACCTCCACTTCAGAAAATTGCACCCAGCACTGTGTTCTCAGGCTGCTCAGTTCAAAGAGAGTGTGTCTGACCAACCCTCTTTGGAGGTGCCACATGACTGACTTTGGAGGCACTATTTTTAGGGGCCCTTGCTTCCCCCAGAACACATACCATTCTCTATTTCAATTATATCTCTTTTTTGGAGGCAAAATGTGCAAATTAGACTGTTCAGTGCTCCCTAGACGAGGGATGTGTAGGTGGCACCCAAATTAACTGACATTCGAGGCTCCACCGAGGAAGGGGAGGGAGAGACATCCTCTGTTCTTTACTGGGGAAAGAGCTAGCTGTAATCATGGGAGACCAGGGAGTAGATAGCAAAATTGTAACTCCAAAGTGGTGTTCAGTCTGGTCTTCTCATAAACAACCCCTCAGCCTTCTTCCTCCCAACCGGCAGCACTCAGCTGCTAAAGAAAGAAACGTGAGGAGACTAATAGAGAATGTTCAGGTCTGCTCAGCTGCTGGGCTGGGAAGTGGGGGATTGTCCTGGAAGAATGCAGGAGCCAACCTGAATATGGGTGAATGACTCTATTGATCAAAACTATTATGGGAAGAACCTCGGCTTAGGAGAACATTGATGATGAATCTCATTATGCCTCTCCTGCATCCTCATCCACCCTAGGGCAACTTCCTGGTCTAGTTTTGTGAGGTCCAGGGACCTTGTGTTACCACACCGTATGTGAGCAGATTCAGAGCAGGAGGACTCTCCCCAAATGATTGGCTTATTGCCAGGTCTCCTGTTTTTCTCCAAATCTTCGGGGCCCCACCCTGACCTTGAACTGAAGATCTCAGGCAGACTGCAGGGCTCTGGAGTAGGCTAACTTATTTCAGCAGATTCTGCAGTTCTTTGCAGAAAATGCACATGTGTTTTCTAGTATTTGTCCACCCAGGATTAATCATCGCTGTAAATCCATTTCCCTGTGATTTCCCCCCAGACCTTGCCAATAGTGCGTTCCACCCTGGCCCTTGGGCTCCTTCCGTGAGCTCTGCGTTCCAAGTCCAGTCCTAGCAGATGTGTTAGGTATGAATGTAGGCCCTTCCTGCAGCAGGCCTCCCGGTCTTCCTTGGATATCAGAAGCCAAACCTCTGGTCCAAATGGGACATTCCACAGAATTGGCGAGAGGAGGAAATAAAATAGGAGAAAAGGGGCCTAACGTACATGGAAGCTAAGTCTGGGAATGGTCAATATTGCTTAACAGAGAGGGACTGATTTATCTGTGATTACTCCTTCTTCCTTTGTTGCATAATAATATCACTAGCTAACATTTATATAGTGCTTTGAAGTTGTAAAACATATCACAAGTATTATTTCACTTGATTTTTCACAACAACCCTGGGAGGTGGGTGCTGTTATCTCCCCCATTTTACAGATGAGGAAAGTGAGACAGACAGCTGTTAAGTTACTTGAACCAGGGTCAGATAGCCAATAACTGTCTGAGGCTGGATTTGAACCTGGGTCTTTCTGACTCCAGGTCTAATACTCTATCCACTACTATCCTTTCAGTTGTTCAGTTGTTTTTCAGTTGTGTCCAACTCTTTGTGACCCCATTTGGGGTTTTCTTGGCAAAGATACTGGAGTGGTCTGCTTTTTCCTTCTCCAGTTCCTTTTACAGGTGAGGAAACTGAGGCAAACAGGGTGAAGTGACTTGCCCAAGGTCACACAGCTAGGAAGTGTCTGAGGCCAGATTTGAGCTCGGGAAGATGAGTCTTCCTGACTCTAGGCCTGACACTCTATCCACTGCACCACCTAGCTGTCTACCACATC